CATATTCTCTGTTTTGCCATCTTCTACCTTTTTGGGTTGTTAATCCAACGATCTCAGAACGAGACACATGCATGTGTAAGTTGCATGAAAATCTGAGCTTCGTGGCTGAGAAGCTCAATCAGCTGAAACTCATTGAGACTAACAATCTCGAAAAATTGGTAGAGAAGGTATGCTGCAACTCATCCAACAAGAGCTGTATGTACGGAGAGTGTGTACACTGCATGGACAAGAGTATCCCAATTTCCGGTACATATAGCAGTACGACAAAAGTATCTTTCACCCAGTGGGTAACAGAAGATAAGGAGATGGGTAAAAAGAAAGAGGGAGAAGAGAGGTCAACTGTCAAGGTCACCATCAAGAAATCTGTGGAGGGCACACAGGAGAACCTCACTGAGCTGTTCCACACCTACCTACAGCGGTTCAAACAGCATCACTTCAACATCAAGCAGCAGTTTGCCTTCTGCCGCGAGCTGAAGAAGAACATGTCAGGGGAAGAGGCCTTGATACATATTGACTTTTCAGAAAATTACAGCTGCAAATACAGCTCCCCGATCCAAGCAGTCCACTTTGGGGCTTCACACCACCAGGCCACTCTGCATACAGGGGTGTTGTATGTCGGTGGAAAACCAGAGCCCGTGTGCTTCAGCACAATCTCTCCCTGCAGACATAAAGGCCCTCCAGCAGTATGGCAACACCTCAATCCAGTGCTGGATTACCTTCAGGCCACACATCCACAAGTGTCTGTGCTGCACTTTTTTAGTGATGGCCCCTGTACGCAGTACAGACAACGAGGCAACTTCTTTCTTTTTAGCACAGAATTAGACGGAAGAGGATTCAAGGCTGGCTCCTGGAATTTTTTTGAGGCCAGTCACGGGCAAAGGAGCCCCGGATGGCATCGGGGGAGCCTTAAAAAGAACCGCTGACATGATGGTGGCAAAGGGACGTGATATCCCGGATGCACACGAACTGTTCAAGGCCTTGACCGAGACAAACACAACAGTGAAACTGTTCTTTGTAAAGAGTGAGGATGTTGAGAGTGCAATGGAGAAAATGCCAAAGCAAATACCAGCAGTCCCAGGAACAATGAGAATCCACCAGTTGATTACTCTCTCTGGCTCCAGGAGAACTGATACAACGTGATGTCAGCAGCATGTGCGCAACACGGCAGCAGTTTAACTGCAAGTGCTTCAACACACAGTGTTTCAGTTTTGGCCAGAAGGTACCAACTGCTGTGTCACAGCCAGACAGTGAAGGGAATCCACAGCCAGAAAAGGAAATCCAGTGGGGAAGTCCAGAGCTGGTTGGGCAGTGGTGCATGCTCAGATATGATCAAGAGCTGTATCCAAGCATCATCTTTAGCACAGATGAAACACATGTGCAAGTGAAATGTATGCATCGTGTTGGGCCAAACCGATTCTTCTGGCCGGCTCGGGATGATATCCTCTGGTAGCCTACCTGTTTTGAGGATGTACTTAATATCATTCCACCCCCAAAGCCTGTGACAAAGCGCCATGTGGAGATCTTGAAAGAGGTGTGGCCCAAATATTGAATGTCATGAAGCGGCCACCTATTCAGTCAGTTTATAATCAGGGGTGCAGCACACAAGTGGTCCGCATGCGCGACCAAAATGAGAAATGCGCTGTGTAAATGAGTTCAGAGCACGTGTTTGCGTACCGACATGGGCTGTGTTTCCCAAAATCATCGTAAGCCTAAGTACATCGTAGACCCATTGCCACCTATATGGAGCTACAATCAATTTAGGCTTACAATGCTTTTGGGAAACGGCAACGCAGCCATGGTTGACAGCTGTTAATGCACAATTACCATTTTAGATCGACAAACTGTACTGTATAAAATTTCTATTCAAACTGAATGCATAAATATAGGCTAACGTTTTCAAAGCACAATGCAAAACTGACATTTAATTCCCTGACGCTCTACAATCGGCAGCGCTAAACCCGGAAGCGCATATACTTGCTTGCCGGCAACCCGCCAAAATAAAAGTTTGCTGATTTTAAGTTTGAAAATGAAAAATGAAAATAATTCAAATTAAAAATAATAATTAAGGTTCAAATTAAAATAATAATAAAAATATTAGCATTTTATTTTTAAGTTTACTATAAAATAATTGTATTTGTATTTAATACTCCCTTTTTATTTTAAAATAAAATAGTATTATCACACTTTTATTTAGTTTATTATTTTATTTAAAAAAATAAATAAAGTGCAATATGTCTTTTTTGGTTACATAATGAAATACAGTGTTTATAGAAAATCTTAGAAAATCTTACAGTAAATTTGAGTAAAAAAAACAACTATTTATATGTTAAGCTGCATTTGTCTCTTCAACCCCGTTACCATCTTCAACCCTGTTACCCTAGTCTCAACCCTGTCACACCTACAAGTTTATTAAAAAAGTAATTTAATTTTTGTTGAACTCAGTCTGAAATGTTCATAGCAATCATAAGAATACTGATTTTAGTTCAAATTCTGAAGTTAAGCCACTTCTTTGATCAAAAATGACGAGGTTGCGTCACAAAAAGTTCAATTTCAGGCTTTAGTATAGCAAAAGTGAGATTTTATGTAACTTTTTTTATTTGCAAATACTGAATTAGTGTGAGGGACATCTGATTAATAGGAAAATGTTGATTTCAATACAAATACATTTTATAGTCATATTCAGAGAGATTCCATAGTGTCCATTACGGGGTTGAAGACTAATAGTGCCCATATCTTAAAATAATGACCAATAATAATAGGGATTTGATGTCTGAGGTGGGAAAATATGGTTTCTGGGAGTTAAATATGTCATTAATGTTGTGGGGTGTTCAGAAAAGTAATACATTTTGGGAAAAAAATCTAAAAATGTGTAAGTCCAAATCGTACCGGTTTCGTGGAATGACTCAGATATCTTCAATAGATGCGCAACATATACGCAAAGGTAATTAGAGATATCTCTAATTCAGTATCGACTGGTCACAAATTAATGATATTTTAAGATATCTGCATTGTAGTCGAATCTGCTGTTGTGTGGCGTGAGATTTAATTTACTCAGCTCCTCTCTTGATAACTGCTAACCACAGTAGTCTGCAAATTTGTTGTCACGGAGAGAAAAGCTACTGGATTAATTACTGCAGAGGTTATTAAATAATATCTGGATACATTCATATAAGGTCTCCCTGACCTTTGAATGAATGTATGTAGCGCTGTGTGAATTTAAATCAAGCCGCGAAACGGATAAACTGGAGTGTAATGTTCAATAAAGAGCAAACTGCTCGTCTGAATTTATTTATATTTTGAAAAGACGAAGAGCAATGTAAGTATACACCAAAAACATGAGAAATAATAAAAATAAACGAGTGGTGGACAAGAATAATGCTTTAGAATCAAGACAGACCCAGTCAAAAAGGTGAAGGCTGATTTTAAATAGATTACCAGGGAATACAAGTTTAACTGGTATTAACATGTCCTGATGATATTGATTAGTGTATTACATTGTGTGTACTGAGTGTTCTCTGCACAGCTTATGCCACTTTTACACCTGCACCAGCTACATTTTTATTTTGAATTACTTGGGTATAAGGCAGTTTAAAATTAACCATATTCAGGAACTTTATTATACAATTCTGAGACAAAATAGTGGAAGACAACCGTTTCCAAGGTATGATTGGTTAATGAAATGTTTAAGGTGGGGCTTAACAAAGGTGTATTTGCATGCACATTTTAGACATCTATAAAGGTAAGTTTGACATCGTTCTCTACTGATTGCCGTTATCAGACTCTCTCTATTTTCTTTCCTTTTTTAAAAGTCATGAAAACACTATCATGGAGTTTTACTTTTGCTATTTGAGCAAATGGGAATGCAAAAATATATTTGTGGTAGTCTCCCATTCACTGAAGTTTACCCGACTATGACGACTTCCGCTGCTGAGAAACCCGGAAATGTAAAAAATATTTTTATACCTATTTTATCATTCAAATTTGGCTGGGTGTTTAAAAACATTTTTCTGTGGTGTGACAAACTCAGAACACATTTTATATTATTTAATATTGCTTTACACAGACTTTAATTAAATAAAACACTGTTTACACTAGAAATTAAGTAATACCGTTTAAAAAATGAAATCGCGCATTATCCATCGACAAGAGTTTTGGTAGCCTAAATATTGCTAGACAAAATGGGCAAATATTGTTTTTATTTGATCATCTATTCCTTATGGAGATCCGTCCATTAAACGAATTTGCACAGAAAACTACATTAATAACAAACCCCTGTAAGCAAAAGAGTGTCATTCTGTTGTAAAATTAAAATATTCAAATGAAATAAAAGAGTAAACATTGACATTTTGGTGATATAAACAATTATATATTGCTTTAAATGAATGTGAACAGACAATTAATAACAAACCCATGTAAATAAAAGTGTGCAATTCTGATGTAAAAAAAAAAAAAAAAAGTGCAAACTTTAGAATTATGGATATAAGAAATAATATATTACATATATTATTAACAAACCCTGCAAGTAAAAGAGTGCCATTCTAATACATAAATAAATAAATAAATAATGCAAACCTTGGAATTATGATAAGTATAATAAACAATAACATAGATTTCATTAAATGAATGTGAAGAGACAATTATTAACAAACCCCTGTAAGCAAAAGATTGCCATTCTGATGTAAACGTTTAAATATTCAAAAGAAATAAAAGGGCAAACCTTGAAATTCTGATAAAATAAACATTATTATATACATTGCTTATAATAAATGTGAACAGACAATTAATAACAAACCCCTGTAAGCAATTCTGATCATAAACAATAAATAAATACAACCATTACAAAGAAATAAAAAAGCAAACTTTGTAAATTATGATTTTATATATATATATATATTTATATTTATTTATTTATGTTTTTTAAATAGGCCAACACTGGATGAAACCACACGATAAATCTATAATGATCTCTGTTGAGTGCTTGTGATCGTTGCGTCCTGCGGTGATGAACTAGACCCGCAGCAGTGAGTGCGTGCGTGTCTCTGGAGAAACATGGGGGAAGCGGAGACTCTGCCATCCGACGAAAAACAAGCAGAAACCGGCATCTGTACCGCCGAGGAATCGATTGTATGGAGTCAAGAAGTAGAAGTGTGTCTTTTTCACGCAATGCTGGGTCATAAACCCGTAGGTAAGATGAATTCATTTTGATTTGTGTGAATAACAGGCCCTGATCTCCGCACGCGAAACAATATAACATCATAAATAAAACCATGTGCTCCTTTTTACCTTTTAAGTATCTGAAATCAAGTGATAATACAGTTATTTAATCATACCAATCAGATTTTAAAATACTGATAAAGATTTTTGAGTTAATTTAAGCGTTTTTAGTGATTCTTTAGTGAGCGCTATCGACTCCAGTTGCTAATTGTTATAAGAAATTTGAATATAGTGATTGCATGAAAGGTTTTGTTACAAATTTGAGATGTATTGTAGACTATTGCTGAATTTGTCTGTTTTTTAATGACTACTATTGTGTTTATGGAGGGAGTATAGCAGTGAATGTGTGTTAACGTTAGCAAACAATAGCGCGGCTGCTAACTAGCATGATAGCATCACGGCTAGGCTAATTTACGGCAACACATTGGTGTCAGGAGAGCGTCTCTGTGAAACTGTCTTATGTCTTCAGGAGTGAATCGACATTTCCACATGATCTGTATTCGCGATAAATTCAGTCAGAACATCGGCAGGCAGGTGTCATCTAAAGTCATCTGGGATCACCTGAGCACCATGTACGACATGCAGGCGCTGGTAAGACAACTCGACTCCTGCTTTCTTGGGATTGTGAGATTTATTTTAATGAGATTCATTCACTGCATGCATTCTACATCACAACTATTTAATGTAATGTAGTATATGTGGGATCCAAAGGTTCAGATTGAAAATTAAGTATTTAAAATGGAAATATTGCATCATTTTTAAACCCTGGAAATAATTGAAGTTTTAGGGTTTTTAAAACAATGAAACGTTATGATGTATGATTAATAAGTGTATTTAAGATTCTGTACCCCGTCAGTAATCAAATAAGCACATTTGTGATAGACAGATGTTCAAATACTAAGACTGTATTTACAGTACGTTACTTTTTCAGTTCAACCTCTCATTGTTATGCAAATAATATAATTAAAAAAAAGTTTAAATTAGAGAGATGCAAAATTAAAGTATGGCCTTAGACTTTCTGGCCCTAATATTGTGATGGACCCAGGGTCATTATAGTTAACTAAAACGAAAGCCATAAAAACATTTTTGTTGCTTGAAATAAAATAAACATTAACTAACATTAATAATTTTTAACTGAAATAAATAATTGCTTAATAATTTCAGCTAATTTGCAAGGCAACATTTCTCATTTTTATTTAATTTAACTTAATGTATAAAAATAACCAAAACTGAAACACAAGAAAACTTTTAACTAAAATTGAATGAAAACAGAGAATATAAAAATAAACAAATTCAAAATATGAATAAAAATCCATAATAGTATTTCAGTTATACTAAAATAACACTGGATGGACCAATATATGTTAGGACAATTAATTGATAACTATAGTTCGCGGAGCATTTATTTTAAATTTCCTATTTTTAAAATCTTTTTAGAATATTTAAACATTTATATTGTTTAAGATTCACAATATTTAATTAAATTAATTATCAGAAGTTTAATTTAATAATCTATCACATATATACACACAAGGTCAGTCAAATATTATCACAAATTAAACCCTGTCAGGATGATCAGGACGCCATCATGAGCCCTAGATATCACACCATTGAATAACCCATATCACTTTTATTGCTGCAGTTTGCAACAGGGATAAATAAAGTTGATTCTACTATACCTCTCAAATCTAATTAGTAAATGTCTTTTTGTTGCTGCAGCATGAATCAGAAATACTCCCGTTTCCAAACTCGGAGAAGAGCTTTGTGCTGCCTGAAGAGATCATACAGGAAGTCAAGGAAGGTGAGCTGCTCGTAGTTTCTGTGTTGTGATTTACAGTTGATCAGTTTGATTTTACTGATTTACTTAAAAGCTCTTTTTGTCTTTGCGCAGGTAAAGTGGGATCTGAAGATGACGTGAAGGAGGAGTTCAAAGAAGAGAGTGACCCACCTGCAAACCATGAAGAAGGTTCTCTTCTCCTTCACTCTTTTTATTTATCTCATCTACTCACCCCTTTCTTTTTCCTTTCCCTCTCTCTCTCTCTCTCTCTCTCTCTCTTTCCTTTTGACGAAAGCCGTCTATTAAAACCTGCGTCATTGCATCACTTTTTTTTCTGGATCGTTCTCCCGTTGGCGTGAAGCTCAGCGTGGCTCACACTGGTCATTTGTGTCTCATTTTCAAAGGTCTGGGTCCCAGTATGGCTGGCCAGGATTTTGCGAGGTATGGACAGAAGAAAACGTTTCGCTCTGTTCCAAAACTCCAGCTTGAGCTCAGTACAGACCAGCTCATTACCAGAGGCCTCTGTAGACAGCCTTCAGAGACCTCTGACCATGTGCGTCTTTCTCTCCGTCTTTCTTTCGCTGTCCTTCTTTCTCTTTCTCTTGTGTCTTTTTTTATGTGTTCTGTGCACCCTAGCATATGTTATTATTCTCTGTGTGTATGAAGCATGGCATGTTGAGGGTTTGCTTGGACAGGTTTGTTGAACAGCAGCAGCTTTATAAGATAATGAGATCCTTTGCACGTTCACCAGTTTTTCAGAAATTTCCCGTAACAAGGTTGAAGAAATAATACACCCAATGGTTCAGCCTTCAATTTGAAAATTGTTAGTTGTTGAAGCAGACAGTAAAATTTGGTTATTAAAATCTCAAACATATAATTCTAGGCTTTAAAACCATCAGAGATACAAGTTCTGTTCCAAAACCTGGTGTTTTGCCCTATATGTATTGCCTACATAGATAGCATATCAACTTTATAAATGACTGATTTTGAGTGTGTGTTCAGCCAAGTCAGAATTATCATAATTATTAGATTCTAGTTATTTTTTTGTCAAAAGTTTATTTTCTTAAAGAGATTATTTATAGTTAACGGGTCAGCACATTCTTGGAGCTTTAATTTCAGATTCTTAAGAAAAAATACTTGAATTCTTAAGAAGGCAAATTGTGCTGTCATGTCAAAACTAGGGATGTAACGATTCACTCAACTCGCAATGAGATACAATGCACGATGCTGAGTTCACAATATGATTTTCTCACAATTTTTAACAAAATGAGATTTAAGACAAATTATAAATGAAAAGGTGTCCTTTTATATTTATTGGACATAATGCTGCGCATTTCTTTGTGAAATTGAAATATGTCAAATAATAAAACTAAATTGAAATAAAAAACCCCCAAATCAAATAAATAAATACAAATAAAAGAAATCTCTTCATATAAACAAACTTTGGCCTTGCCTGTGCTCTTTCCATTTTAAAGGGGTCCTATTATGCTTTTTCACTTTTTGAATTTTAGTCAGTGTGTAGCGTGTATGTTTGGGCGGGCAAAAAATCTTCAAACTTACAAATCTCAAAGTCCACTCCAAAGGGAGATATTTCGTTTA